CTACTTACGTTCTGGTCTGGGTTCATAGTTGTGATATCTATGAATCTGCCGTGCAGGAACCTGTGCGTGGCATTGTGAGCATGGTTCATGGCACGAATCGGTTGATATTACTTGTTCCAGAAGAACCTGTCGTCCGCCTGCGTGACCGTCAGCATTGTAGCAGTACGTGGGCGTAAGAGGTCCACTTTAACCCACAATTTCCCAGAGCGGCTTGTCCCCGTCTTGCTGGATGGTCGTCCACTGAGCTTGCAATCTGCGGGTGATGTCCCAGGCATAGCTGAAGAAGAAATTGCCTCCCCGCAGATGCGAGCGCACGAGTGCCAAGAGGTGGGTCTCAACCGCATTAGGTGGGGTCTGTACGGACACGTCCGGGTTTAGTGGCAGGATATCGTACTCCGTAGCCCGGTAGATGTTCTGTCTCATGAGGTGACCGCGGAGCTCGCGTCCGGTGATAACAATGATGTAGTCCGCTATGTTTTCGGTCAGCGTACTGGGGAGGAAGAGTGAGGGTACGACATACACATGGCCAATGATATCATTCCGTATATGCCATATATTGTCTTTGGCGAACGTTCAGAAGTAACGGGAAGTGGTGTATTAGGAGCTATCCTGAAGTCAGTTGAGACTGCAGCAAGCCTAGCATAAAACATACCATTGAGTACAATATCTCCTGAGTTGCGGTAGATGGTCAAGGAGCGTGCCCCGACGGGCTCGGCGGGAACGAACGTGTACGTCTCGTTCCCATCGCTGTAACTGAACACGCAAGCGTGAGTCTAGAGCACAAGCCAGCGAGGTCGGCAGCGCACGCACAGCGTCAGTCTCTGGTGCAGGGACTTCATGGTGGTGGGCGGAAGCAGAGAGGTGATGATGCGGACCGCCAACGCGCGGGGGAGCGCAGGCAAGGCAGCGCGCGCCGCGTCGTGATTTCGCGCCACACGCGCCGGGCTGCCCCTGCGAGGATCCAGTCCAGCTTCGCGTCCGACCACGAGCACTGACCATGGTCAAGCTCACGCCCGAGCTCATCGAGTCCGTGCCCTCCCACCTCAACCCGATCAAGGAGCGGCAGCTCGACCTCAGAGGTACGTCCCTTTTTGCCGCGCGCCGTGCAGCGCCGTGTTGAACTCGCCTGCAGGCTACACCATCCCTGCGATCGAAAATCTTGGTATCACCAAGGTGCGTCTGTTACGCGTACTGTCGGCTCACAAAGGGTCGAATTGACTTGGGTCGTTTTGTAGGACCAAAATGACTGCATAGACTTCACTGACAACTCGATCATCGTGCTCGGGAACATCCCCCTCCTCCGCCGCCTCCGCACTCTCCTCCTCGCAAACAACCGAATATCATCCATCTCGCCTTCCCTGCACCTCTCCGTCCCGAACCTCACTACCCTTGTCCTAACCAACAATAACATCGCTGAGCTCGGCGACCTCGAGCCGCTAAAGGATGTCAAGTCCCTGCAATATCTCTCCCTACTCGGGAACCCCGTACGCGAGAAGAAGTGGTACCGGGAATGGCTAGCATGGCGCATTCCCAACCTGAGAGTACTTGACTTCCAGCGGATCCGGGAAAAGGTGCGTTTGCACGTCGATACCCCGCGTAACATGCCACTGACAACTCTCCTCTCGCTGCAAAAGGAGCGACAAGCCGCACGCGCACTCTTCCTGACCGCCGACAACCTGCCCACGCAGCTCGCGACGACGCTCTCGCAGACCGTCTCGACGCACTCGTCAAAACCGCCCGTGACGTCGGACGAGCCGAAGCCGCTCGTGCAGGCCGGGAAGGCGGGCAGGCTGATGTCCAAGGAGGAGGCGGACAAGGTCCGCGAGGCGATCGCGCGCGCGACGTCGGTGGAGGAGATCCGGAGGCTGGAGCGGATGCTCAGGGAGGGTTTCCTCCCAGGCATGGATTCTGTCGGCGCGTGAGCGCGTCCGCACACTGTACGATGAATGTATCACTGGTATCGATTTTCCCTCGCTTTCCTCCTGTTCCTATATTGCGATGCTACTACGAGAAAGCGTTGCATAGCTCCGTATCCAGACTGATCGTGAAAGTGACGTGAAAGCAGACAGACAGAGGTACGTGTACAAGGATGAGTGGCCATAATCACAGAACGCTCTTTATACCCGCCCCAGTATTTCCAATCCACAGACCATGGAAGAGCAGAGCCAGGAAGGCGGTGAGGTTCGCGAGGGAGCTGACACCGTGCAGCTGCGCGAAGGTCTTGTTCAGGGCCTTCATCTGCTCAGAGACCTGCATAGAACAATGGTTAGTACAGACAAAAGTTTGCACCAGTTGCAAGACATACCCCCGGCTCGTTGTACGCCTTGCCCTCCTCCTTCTCCAGCCTGTGGCGCTTGAACATCGTCCTGCACACCGGTCCCGTTAGTCCATCCGACGGCTTCTGGGTATCGGCCGTCACTCACTTGCTCGTCAGCGGCCCGATCACGAAGTGGTTCGCAGCCTGGCTGAGTACGACCGCCACGAGGGCGTACGCCTGGGCGACATCGCCGTCGGTAGCGTCCAAGTAGTGCGTGAGCACCTTGGGGTGGCTGTAGGTCCAGAGCCCGAGGAGGCCCGAGGAGAGCGCGATGCTGATGACGAAGTAGATGGGGAACGTCCGGTGCTGGAGCGTCCCGAACTGCTGGCGGGGGAGCGTCTTAAAGGCGATGGTTCCTACACATATGTCCATGAGCACTCGAGCGAGGTATGCCCAGGAAGAGCTCTTGCGATGTCGTACCTCCTATGAAAGTGACCCAAAGGGCTACAAGACGTATCCGGGTTCCATTAGTCTCCAGCCCAACTCTTGACCTTTGGGCTGCCGGACTTACTCATCCCAAACAGCCACGCATATCCAACTTGGTATAAGCCCTGCGCGTTGAAGAGAGAGAGGAACGAGGACCACGAGAGTGTCGAGACCTTAGCCATATCGGAGACGAGTTACAGTTACAGTACACAGTTACTGCTCAGATCCAGAGTCCAGACAATGCGGGGCAAGGGTCAGCTTCCTCAAAGGTCTTATATGTGCGCTGGGAGAAGAGACACGCAAGCAGGCTGAGTCCTGTGGTGAAGCCTGGGAGCAAGAGTCCAGACAGCCGGGGCGCCGAGGTTGGCCTACAGCCTGTTGCCTGTGAGAGCATGCGAGCCCGACGCGTTGCTCCCGCGCGCGATCGAAATCACGCTCACGTGTGCGGCCTTTGCGATCCCGGTCGAGCTGGATGAGTGGACGACGCGTACAAGATCTGACAAGATGCGTTGCATACATACGTATACGGGCATACACATTATCACGCAAGGGGAGGAGCAGGAACATCCGGTACGTTCAGATATGCGCGACAACGATTGCTAATACACAGAACATGATACAGTGGACAAGTGCAGGAGGTTACGATGGGGCCGCCGCATGGATGGTCGCATGAATCGATACACAGACAGCATGGGTTGTGCATGGAGTTGGGCTGCAGCGGGGTTAGTGGAAACGATCGAAATCGGTGGGTCGGCCCATCATCCCTCTTCGCCGGATGCCCATGGCAGGGCGGTCCTCTCGCGACGCGGTCAGGACTACGTGTTTGTCGACGAGCTACATAGCGAAGCGTAAGTGAGTGTGGCACTGAGGTAGTGGGTGTGATGCCCACATCGTTCAGTAGGTTTGCGGATTTCGTGAGAGTCGCAAGGTACGCAGTAAGTTGTACGTCCTCATATTCCTGGATTTATGGTGAGCTGCGATTGGGGGGTGATATGCTGCGGTAGAACATACCGTATCGAACTCTTCCCTGAACTCCGAGTTCTCGCTCGCAGGCAAGGAGGCTATCAACGCAGATAACGCACGCAAAGTGGCGTGGTCCTTCTTCGCAGAGCCTGTACCGGATTGTCTGAGACGGTGCTACCCGCAAACATGATGACTTCACTCACCTGCAATCACGTCCGTTACGTATTTCACAAGAAGCAATATCCGGTCGTGGAGCATCTTCACAGCCGCGCGTTGAGTCTGGAGGTGGGATTCCACTGGATGGCCATATCAGCCTGAATGCAAGCGGAAAAAGCGAAGCATTGAATACATACAACTCGTCCCTCCCGAGCCACCCTTGGCTGTCCAATCCACCGCAATGCGCTCCGCTTCACCCGTCTCGACATTGTACGGTGCCTCGATGAACACGGATCTCGACTTGCGGTCTCGGATTTCGAGCGTAGGCTCATATGCTTTCAGAGGCAATGATTGGCCCGACGCATCTGCCGATGCGGCGAAGATGGTCGACGGCTGCATGACAAGGAGCAATGGCGTAGAGCTGTATGGTGTGAACTGAGAGCACTTCAGCTTCGAACATGATTCATGGTATACATATTGAAGGTACGCACCTGCTCATGTAGCGCAATATGACGAGCAGTCGGTCTTTCCGCTACGGTATACCATCCAATGAACTCTAGAGAAGGGAATACTTGTTTGTCTAGAGTAGCCGTGGGCGATTGGTGTTATGCAGAATTGCAGCGATATCGAGTACGTACATTGGTCTCTGCGAGTAATCAGGAACTCGTGGTCAACTGTCTCGCCGTCTTCCGCCATGGCAAGTTCAAAGGTATTGACGATCTCGACATCCCGGCCATTCTGCGTTCCCAGGAGGGCGCCGATAACTATGGAACCGCGGATGAGTTCAAAGGGCCTCGTTCACGCAAGCAAATGTACCGAATGGAACGTGAGAGCGTGTCTGCAGCCGCAGCCGTGTAAGATGCTCAGAGATGTTGAGGATGGGTAGCGGGTGGCTGAAGCATACGCGTCAGTGGCGGCAAAGCGTGTAGATAGGTGTACGAACAGCGCAATAGATAAGCCAGACGTTGTGCTCGAGGGCAGGACAACAGGAAGCTCGTCGGTATCCATAGAGCTCATTGCGGATGGAGGGTACCGGTGGTGGGTGCAAAGAGGAAGCTAGCTGAGAGCCGCCCTCGATCTGTCGAAAGGTGACCCAGGTACTTAGTAGCACGCGTGGTGGTAAAAGGAGCAAAAATGATTCCCATTAGCCGACTCGAACGACTGACCTCGTCATAGCCCACTTATTAGGTACTAGTGACGCGCTCTACCAACTGAGCTAAACGGGAGTTGTTGACCTTTGCCGTAACCAAAAACACAACCCATGTCCGAATGGGGTAAAGCAACGACGCGAACGGACCCGCCCTAAATCTCATTTGTGGCTCGCGACTAGGACGCGTCTCGGATTCGTTGCCGGCCTTCACGCGTCTGTCGTCCGCTCTTGTCTTTCCTCCTTCTACTCCTACCACCATGTCTGGCTTTGACGCAGACCGCGTGTACTCTGTTGCCGTCCACGACGTGGCGGAGCCTACCGCTCCTGAACTACCCTCACAGACCGAAAAGCTTCTTCTCGACTTCTTGCTACAGTACCGCGTCGGCGGCGACTACATCTATCGGTGCGCCAGCTTCTGACGCGCCCTCCATCGACAAACTGTGACATTTACTGCAGCGATAAGCTACGAGCCAACCTCTTGCTTAAGCAGCACCAGGTCGAGGTCGATCTACGCCATGTTGGACTGTATAATGATGAACTTGCGCATGCGATACAAGAACGGCCTGGAGAGATCCTCCCACTGGTATGATGCGTGTCGACCGACTACGTGAGTGACGACTAAGACGCGTGGTAGTTTGAGTCTGCAGCCGCGAAAGCCGCACGATCTATCCTCTTCCCTCTGGCGAGTGGATCCGAGGCCGCTCAGCAGTCCATCCCCTACGTCCAAGTACTCCTCAAGTCCGGTCTCAATCTGCAGCAATTTCGCGACCTCACAGCCGATACCATGAACAAACTTGTCCGCATACCCGGTATCGTCATCTCCGCATCCGTTCTCTCTTCACGCGCGACCAAGCTCCACCTCCAATGTCGTGCATGTCGGTCAACGAAGATCATATACCCTCCGAGCGGCCTTGGTGGTTTGGGTGGCGGATCGGACAGAGGCTTGCCTCGTGTTTGCGACGCCCCCGAGTTGGAGAACCAGAAGAAAGACTGTCCGCTGGATCCGTATCTCATCATCCACTCCAAGTCCGCATTCACCGATCACCAGACGCTGAAGCTTCAGGAAGCTCCCGACATGGTCCCTGTCGGTGAACTGCCCCGGCATATGCTTCTGTCCGCTGATAGGTACTTGACGGGGCAAGTAGTCCCGGGGTCGCGAGTGATTGCAACAGGAATCTATTCTACATTCCAGTCTGCGAAGAACGTAAGTGCCTTCGAGGCGATCTCTCCCACATTGATATGCTGAACATCCAAGTAGCGCACCAAAGGTGCAGCGGCCCTGCGTGACCCTTACCTCCGTGTTGTTCACCTGGAAGTTTCTTCCCCTGCGGCCGGGGGTGCAGGAGGTGCGAACCCCTTCGGCGCGCAGTTTACACCTGAAGAGGAGGAAGAGTTCGGCGAGATGGCGCGAAGCGAGGGCTTCTACGAGCGGTTCGCGAAGAGTGTCGCTCCCAGTATCTACGGCAGTCTAGGTAGGTGCTCTTGTCCAGTCCCGTGGGTGACACGGATGCTGAGCGTTGTCTTGCAGATATCAAGAAGGCCATAACATGCCTCCTCCTTGGTGGCTCAAAGAAAATCCTGCCAGATGGTATGCGTCTACGTGGGGATATCAATGTACTGTTGCTGGGTGATCCCGGTACCGCGAAGAGTCAACTGCTCAAGTTCGTCGAGAAGGTGAGACTACTTCAACCCACGATATGTGCCGGCGTGCTTATCCTTGTGCAGGTCGCACCTATCGCAGTGTACACGTCCGGAAAGGGATCGAGTGCTGCTGGTTTGACGGCATCCGTTCAGCGCGACTCAGTCTCGGTATGCGCATGTCTACTTCTCATGACGAACATGCCACTGATGATCCTGTGCAGCGAGAGTTCTACCTCGAAGGTGGTGCTATGGTCCTTGCAGACACTGGCGTTGTTTGCATCGACGAGTTCGATAAAATGCGCGACGAGGACCGCGTCGCGATCCACGAAGCTATGGAACAGCAGACCATCTCTATCGCTAAGGCCGGTATTACCACGGTACTGAACTCGCGCACGAGTGTTCTTGCTGCCGCGAATCCTGTATGGGGTCGGTATGATGAAGGTCGAAGCCCTGGAGAGGTGTGTGATGAACACCCGACGGCTGGCTAGAGGAACATCGCTAACATAGCGCGAACCCCAGAACATTGACTTCCAGACTACTATCCTGTCGCGTTTCGATATGATCTTCATCGTCAAGGATGAGCATAACGAGCAACGCGACCGAGTGAGTCGAAGTTGCATCGCGATGACTTCGCTCTCTCTAACAACTAGTTGTCCAGATGATTGCCAAGCACGTCATGAACATCCACATGAACCGGCCAAATCAGAGTGCTGACGAGCACGGAGAAGCCGTTGGCGAGATTGATATCGACAAGATGAAGCGGTTCATCGCGTTCTGCAAAGCGTCAGTCCGGATCTAAAACCATTCGTCCTGCAAGCGTCATACTAACTATAACGCTCAGCAAATGTGCACCCCGGTTGTCCGCAGAGGCTCAGGAGATGCTCAGCAGCCACTTTGTCTCGCTCCGGAAGCAGGTACAGCAAGTCGAGCAGGACAACGACGAGCGGAGCTCAATCCCCATCACCATCCGGTATGCTGTCCCTCCATCCCCGCATCGTCTTCATGTACTCACTTACCCTTCCCCCACAGTCAACTCGAAGCCATTATCCGCATCTCCGAATCCCTCGCGAAGCTCACGCTCTCGCCCGTGGTGCAGAATCACCACGTCGAAGAAGCGATCCGCCTCTTCAAGTTCTCCACCATGGACGCCGTCTCCGCCGGGTCCGCGGACGGCCTCTCGCGCGGCGCGCTGAACGAGGAGATGACGAAGATCGAGAAGGAGATCCGCAGGCGGCTGCCCATCGGCTGGAGCACGAGCTACCAGAGCCTCGTGCGCGAGTTCGTGAACCAGCAGGGGTACTCGAGCCATGCGCTCGAGCGCACGCTGTTCGTGCTCGAGAAGCGCGAGATCATCCGTTTCTCTGGCCAGAAGAAGGTCGTCCATCGGTATGTCACTGTTGTATTCTTGTGTTTGCGATCGTGGCTGACCTGGTTCTTGTAAAGGGTTGGCGTGTGATGCATCTTGGCATGTCGATTGCTCCCGTGTTGTTGTCTTGGTTGTCACTTTCGCTCTCCTCGTGGTGTAGACTATTATGTAGCAGTATATTGGCTCTATGCATAATGTATGTTGTACCTGGTATACGCTAGCGGCTCTGTAGCGGTCGGGCAATAGTCCCCCTGCTGTCCAAGGGTCGGTGAGACGGTAGAGCGGTGTATCTAGTTCGTCCGTGGACGATCACAGGAACGATGACCCGGCGAAGGGTTCGGTTCTGTCTTGCCGTCCGAACCACACATATTCCACGGACAGTTGGGTGGAACAGTGTTCCTTGCTGGCGGTGACGGACCCAGGATATGTCCCAGTGCGGTGTCGCCAACGTAGATTGACGGGCCACACTACTCGTAAGTGCGCGGCGTTTGCAGGTTCGGATCCAACGTCCTCGACGGGAAGTTCTGCAACGGCTCCCTATACGCGGACGCGCACACAAGCACACCCCAACATCTTTCAGCACCCCGCTACCACAGCGCACGGCGGGAGGCAAGCGAAACACTCACGTCCTGACGTCCCACACGTCCTCGCTGCACTTCCCCGCCCGGCGGCGCGCCCACCACTCCGCGCGGCGGCGGATCCACAGCTCGCGCTTCTCCTCGGGGTGCACGCCCTTGAGGCTCATGCAGAACTTGAAGTCCTCCAGCTTCGGCGCGCACGTCGCCATCTCGCCGTACCGGTACAGCGACCGCGCCTGCGCGCTGATCACTGCCGCGCCGCCTCCGTCAGCCCAGAGAAGAGGAGAGGTGGGGGAAGGAGAGGGGAGGGAGGACGGACCGTTGCAGAGGAGGAAGTCGTCGAAGAGCTTCATGCAGCCCGGGATGTCCTCCGGGGTGGGGTGCACCTTGCGCAGGTACTCTTCCTCCTGGCGGACGAGTTCCGGGTTCACCGCATCTTCTTTCGACATATCTTGCTGAACCTCAGCTCGGCAGGCCTAGCGTATACCTAGACAGATGTGGTGTTTACCCTGATACCTTCAGTACAAGTGGAACAAGGGAGAGCGGCATGCGGAACCTGGACACCTAGCCCTTCACTCTTCCACGTAACAACAATGTTAATTACTTGTGAATAAATATCGCCCGCCTAGCTCAATCGGATAGAGCGTCAGACTCTTACTAGTGGGTGATCTGAAGGCTGCGAGTTCGACCCTCGCGGTGGGCTAGTGTTTTGTTTCTCCCGTTGGTAAATTTGCAAGATCCAACTTGTAGCGCATGCTACAACCTACAGCATCCCCGCCAGTTTGACTATGCCTCGTTACCATTGAAACAGCAACGCGAGCAGCGACAGTGCAAACGTTCACGAGATTGACAGAGCTTATTTCGCTATTCGGAGGAGAACAAAATCAAACTAGCGTACACGGTCGTATCCTACACTATCGTACAACACGGATTCGTCCTTCATGATACTGCTGCGAGAATAAACCAAGCCACACTAGCTCAGAAAGCGACCTTCGAGACCAGCCCATCGAGTTCGCGCTCCCAGTTACGATGCTTGCTGACCTCGTAGGCGAAGCTGGAGATGAAGCCTTTCTCGTCTTGCTTGATGGTAAGGGTGTCCGCGATGGCGGACCCGGCGTCGTACTTGCCTGCGGTGACCACACCGTAAGAGGTGGTGACGTTGTTGCTGTTCAGGTCGGTCGCGAGCTTTACGCCCGGAAGCTGAACGGCCTCGCGCAGGAACGCAACGGCTGTGAATGGCATGAGCACGCGATCGTGTCGTGTCGTTCCAGGCAGTCAACTTACCCTCACCAATAGCGCCGATGGGCTTGCAGTGGCCGAACGCCTCGCGGACCCAGTGGATGGTGCGACCCGAATCCGCCAAGGCCTGAGCGTGCTTCGCGCCACTTGGGATGAGGATCGCATCGAACATCGTGCTTCGCTGCCCCTCGTAGTGGTGGTCCGAGCTGTAACCCTTCCCAGAGCCAACCTCCTCTCCAGCGGGGTAGACGGGGCCACGACGAGGACCAATGATCCAGGTCGTGGCCATTCCGGCCTTGAGTGCGGCACGGAGCGCCTCGACTTCGCCCAAGTCGAATCCGTCTGCCAGGAGGATGGCGATCCTACGCGACTTGATCGTCGGCTCCTTTGGCACGAAGGCTAGCTGAGACAACCTCGACGAACTGTGGCCAGGGTTTTCGCGCACGGGCTTGTCTGGTACCACGCCGCCTACGTTGATGGCGACTTGTTTTGCGAGGTCGAAGTCGATGTTGTTGAGCAGTTTAGTGTAGGTTTCATACACCACCGGATCGTCGCAGTGGCTGAGCTCGAAGGAGAGGGCAGAGACAACGTGGGCCTTCTCAAAGTCGGTGAGCGAGTTGTAGAACAGCTGCGCCTGCTTGTAGTGCTCTTGGAACTTCGCACTCCGGACGCGCTGCTTGATAGCCTGAATCTTCTGCGGGTACCTGTCCAAGGTGGTTAGGAATCTCAGTGTACATGGGGAAAGACACTGCGTACTCAGCGAAACCGCCCTCAGAAGGCGGCACGGGAGGTGCAATGGAGCGGCGGTTTGGCCAGTAGTTGAGATCCTTCGTGATGCGATGTTGCATAGCACCGTCGCGGTTGTGGTTCAATACGGGGCACACCGGACGGTTGATGGGGAGTTGTTGCCAGTTCACTCCGAGGCGCGAAAGCTGTGTGTCGAAGTACGAGAAGTTCCGGCCTTGGAGTAAAGGATCATCGCTGAACCCGATGCCCGGCACAACGTGCGAAGTGCAGAACGCGACCTGCTCCGTCTCTGGGAAATACTCGTCGACAGTACGGTTGAGTACCATCTCGCCGATGATCTCGACGGGGACGAGCTCCTCGGGCCAAATCTTCGTAGCGTCCAGGATGTCGAAGTCAAAGTCATTCTCCTTGGCCTCGGGAATGACTTGGATGCCGAAGAACCACTTGGGGTAGGCACCGGTTGTGATAGCCTCCTCGAGATCCTTGCGGTGGAAGTCTGATAACCCGTTAGTAGAGAGTAGCGTAACCATGCAGTAGTACATACCAGGATCTTGGCCGCAGACCTTCAAGGCTTCGTCCCACATCAAACTGTGGACGCCCAGCTCAGGTATCCAGTGGAACTTCACGAAGAACCTCTCCGATTTCGCGTTCACGAGGGTGACTGCGCCGCGGTTGTGAGCATTTCAACTGAGGATGAGGTGCAGAAGTGATTTACAGGTGTTCACACCGAAGCCCTGCATCATGCGGTAGGAGCGGGGCACGGCACGATCGGACATGGCCCACATGACCATGTGCGCAGCTTCGGAGGGAGTCAGATCCAGCCTCCATTAGCGCTAGGAACACGTACACTCGGGCTGCAAACCGACGAAATCCCAAAAATTATTGTGAGCGGATTGGCCCTGAGGAACCTCGTTGTGGGGCTCAGGCTTGACGGCATGCACGAAGTCAGGGAACTTGATTGCATCCTGGATGAAGAAGACGGGGATGTTGTTGCCGACAATGTCCCAGTTGCCTTCTTGCGTGTAGAACTTCGTCGCGAACCCACGGACGTCACGAACGGTGTCCTAGGTGATGTACCTTGAGCAGGGATACCATGATATGTTGAACGTATTGGACTCACGGCGCTTCCACGGGAGCCTTGAACCGTACTGAACCGTACGAAAGTAGGCGTGATGCGAGACGGGTCCGTCAGAACAGGTGCGTATGTATACTTGGATGCCCTATCGTCATAGACCTAGTACCCGTTGAGTAGGGGTCACCAGTTGCACGGAGGTCACCACAAACCTTAAAGTATCCATGGGCGCCCGCTCCACGCGCGTGTACGACACGCTAATGGATGGAAATGTGAGCAAATCAGAGCTCGCGCCAGCCAGCGGCACACTGCGTACCTCCGGAATGCGTTCATGGTCGAAACGCATGATTTTCTCACGAGCGATCTTCGAGGTGACGCGTTAGCTCCATGCATCTTCATATAACCCAATCAATCAACGAACCTGGTCCTCGAGAAGCGACGGTCCGGGTCGAGCACCGTCGGAGGCTTTGAGCCTAGAAGGTAAACGCGGTGAGCGTCCGGACGACTATCGTGAAGACCAAAGACTTACCAGTTATCGGTGTCGGAGACGAGGACGCCATGGTCAGTGGTCAGGCCCTTTGCGGAGGACTTCGCGGGATCGACAGTATCCTTCTGGAGGTCGGCTGCTTTGGCGGTGTGGCCGGTCACGGAGGTGAAGGCCTGCTTTACGGACCCGATGGCGGAAGACATGGTGCAAAACAACTGGGAGCGAGGTAATGCGGCTGCTGTCCATGGCTGCGGGCGTGTTATATACGGGGAGCGGCGAAGGAGAGTCGGACGCAGGAGAGCAGACGCGACGTCACCGCTCGATCACTCTGACGAAGTGCGTCCCCGATTTGGCAGGCGAGGTTGTTCGCGACCAATGCTTGGAGCCACTCGAGCCCGCTGCCTATGATGACACGCACATTCCACCGAGCTCATCATCATTTACGCTGCTCCCCATTGGCCAGGTCGCGTCATCCCTCCCCCGCCGGGCCCGCGAGAACGGCGGCAGCCACAGGGAAAAGGTACAAGTCTCGCCTCGTCTGCAGGCGTCGACCGCAACAGATCGCAGAGCTCCAGAGTCTGGCTCGGTCCACGCAGATCAGCAGGCTTACCATTCGCATGTCGTCAACAGAGAATAGTTATAACCGGTATTGCAAAGCTTCCTCAGCGTGAGCACAGGTGTAAGCCAAGACAGACGCGCCTGTGCTGTAGTTGCAATGGACTACGTGCACGCGACTGAGCAATGCCCGGGCTCGGCAAGAGTCGAGCCAGGATCAGGCAACAATAATCTCAACCGCTTGCAGCTAGAATGACGCCAGACTTCCGTGCAGTCGGCCTTCGACGGCGCAGCGCAGAGTGTACGGAAGAAAGACGCGAAGACGGGGTGGCGCCAATTACTACGCGAGTCACGTGCACCAACATACGAGGTCGTGACCGCGTTGACAAAGCCTGAGTGCCGTTCAAGGCATTAATGGCACACTCGTCCAGAACCGCCGCGAACTCCTGGTGAGCTGGATGAACATACCGCCTGTATTTGCGCGAAAGTGGCGTCGCTCAGTGGCCCCAACGGTAGTTGTGTGGTAGCGGCGCCGTCGGTAACACCTCTTGGTGTACGCCGGCCCCGGGCCATCTCTCTGTAGTATAACGCGTCTCTAGGCACCTGAATAGCAATGGCTATCCGCCTAACGCAGAGTGAGATATCGAACCAGACCGTTCGGGGAGATCTACAACGATGCATTGGCAGTAAACCCAACGGTGCCTGGCCTAGCTGACCTGGTGTTTATTTTTCGGAGTGGCAAGATTGTGACAAATCAAGCCTTCAGGAGCCGAAGAGAAGTGCAGGGGTGCGTATGCGCATCTGTAGGTCGGACTGTCGTACATGGCAATCCTCTTGCACTTCTACGTGACTTCTGCGGTACGCATGTTTCCAACGAGATGTTCGCGTGGCCAGCGAGTATTGAATGTTCGGCCAACGGATATTCCATGCTTTGTCGAACAGCAATGTGTCAGCGGCAAGATACCAAAGCACGCTGTTCGCCTCACACCTTCTACGAGTCTTCTGTCTCGGCGCCCGGTCTCAGCAATAGTGCTGATGCTCGATCCATAACTTGCTTAATAGGTCTGCAGCAGGCCGCTCGCAGCGAGGTGCGAAGGCCCTACTCCACCGCAGCGTCCAGTGCAGCCGCCATCCACAAGTACCGCGGACTACTACCGCAGCGCAGAGCAGGGAAGCCTGCCAAACAGCACTTCTTCCACACCGCGACCCTGCGCCCGATCGAAGCATCCAACTAAGCACGCCTCGAGGCTACCTCGCTTACGCACGCCCGCTTTGCTTTGAGCTTCCCGCCGCAGTCCATCCTTCGTCCACCAACAGCACCTTCATAGGAGTCCTGCGCCTCGCATCGCAGGCGGCGCAAACACACTGCGAAGGTTGCAGGCAGAGGACGTCCGGTACGCAAGCCTGCCACCCGCAGCGAGTGGATGGACACGCCCCGGCGATCAACTCGGGTGCATTCCCACCCCTGCGCACCCGGCGTCCGAGTCCAACGCGCACGACTCCCGCGCGCGCGTGCACTGCAACGCGATCAGCAAAGGATCGCGGGCCCAACCTTGGAGGGCGGGGAAGTTCGAGGGAACGTCGAAGAACAATCAGCAGGGAT